TTAATAAAAAAACAAACCAATTTCTAAATCATCAGTAATTTAGACTGTTCTTACATAATCTTGGCCCCTTAGATTAAAGCACAATACCAGTATGAGACCAGAACACAGTTTAGTCTGCACAGATGAGTTACCCTGGAAAAAGTCTACTATTGACTGCATGGTCCTAATCCTATCTTTTCTTTCTTTTTTTTTTTTAAGGCAATTGGGGTTAAGTGACTTGCCCAGGGTCATACAGCTAGTAAGTGTCAAGTGTTTGATCTGAGGCATCCTGACTCAGGTCCTCCTGACTTCAGGGTGAGTGCTCTATCCCCTGGTCCACCTAGCTGCCCCTGTCCTAATCCTATCCAGGAGGCACTTCACAGCTAGGCTGGTCACATGGAGAACTGGGTGTAACATGGGTAATGGCACCAACACCTGGAAAAACAACTCAAGGCACATGCTTTACTGATTCAAAATCAAAAGACTACGGGGACTGCTAATCATGATGGTGAAGCTGAAGTGGATGGTGAAGCCTTGCCAGGGTGCCATACCACGTACATTATCCTCAATCACCAGAAACACCAAAGAAAAGAAATATTTCATTTTTAAAAACCAACATAACAAAAATTTATTCAAAAAAGAAAGCGCTCAAAGTGAAAAGTGTGAACACCATTAAAAAAAAAAAAACTACAGATCAACTGAAATTGCCGAATAATCAGAAGTAACATAGATGTCAAAGGGAGCAATGCAAGATATTGCAAAATGGACAAATGCCACAATTATAGAGTTAAGGCAAGAAAAACAAAAGAAAAGCTAGTAAAAAATGAAATGCCAAAATTTTCATGTGAGGCAGACTGACCTAGTATAAGTTTCTGGAGCAATTCCACAAGCACCTTAGAAGCCTAAGCAATCCATAATTTCTGAGACTTCTCAATCTTAGAAAGCATCCCAAAATGATAATCTTAACACAAAAAAATGAAATGATATGCCACCTCCTAAAGACTATGACTCTCTCAGAGAAACAAGGTTTCAATTACTAGCAAAATACTCTATTGGCAAAAGTTGTCTTGCTTTTGATTTAACAAACAACTACTAAGTGCCTACCATGTGCAAAGCACTACTCTAGGCCTGGAGAACAAAGTCCCAGCCTTTAAGAAGTCCATCTTCTTTCAGGAAGTAGAAGATGTACAGAAATAAATATCGTACAAGGGCACCGATGAGGAAAAAGAAAGGGCTGAGACAAAGAGTCAGGAAACACTTGAGAAGGGGCAGATCTCATCCAGAGAGTGGCACTGCCCCAAAGGCTCTATGACAGGTGGACCCCAAGTTGGAGATGTGAACTTTCCCAAGCATTCCAGGCACAGGGAACAGATTACACATCTCCTTCCTTATAATCTAATGAACAGCTTAAGGTGGCTAATATGAAAAAAAAGAAAGAAAAAAAAAATTTTTTTTTTAAAAAAAAAGAAGGCTAATATGAGAGAAGAGATGCCACTGAAACAAACCATGTCTCCATCCTTTCAAACTGAGAACCACCAAATCTGATGAATTTAGTATGATTTGTGAGACTCAAGAGCCTGCATTCATCTGCTAAACTATCTGTCATGCTTCTGAGGTGATTTCTCCTCCAACATTCATTTAGATTTCTCCACCTAGGTTATAGTTACAGTTACAGACTTTCTTTCTCATTACTTGATGAGCTTTGTTCAAAACATTTAAAGGTGGACTAAGGTAAACAAGGAACTATAGCAGACTACAAGGGGAGTGATCCTTAAGAAGAGGATTTCATGGTCCTTGTCCTCAAGGAGCTTACAACACAAAAAGTCTGCACTGACATTTTTAAGTCCCCTAAAATACAGCACAATGGATGGAGGGAGTAGAGGAAAAGGCAATATATTTTCCTATTAGGGCTAGAGGGGATACCAACAAATTATATAAAGTCAAGAAGATAAGCACCTAGTCATGTATAATTACAGTGTACTTCACTATTCTAATGTATCTGTGATGGAGGGATCCCCTCCACCACATCAGATTTCAACTCATCCACACCATCTCTTATGTGACACCCATGAACCTACTACAGAGGAGCCATCAAATATGATGTGGCTTCCTCTAGATCTCTGACATGGGTATCTACGCCACACACAGACTATTCAACAATTATCCATAACTGTCGCCACATGACCAACAACTATATTATAACAGGATGTTACCTTAAGTAGAAAAAGAAAAAAAAAATGACCACAAACTTGAAATAAAATGTTATCAAGGTTAGAAGTACAGTATTACAGAGCAAAAGCTTGAAGATAAAAACCACAAAACCACCAGGTAATCTCAACTTAACACTATTTAAATCCTTCATTTCTCACCAAGCTGCAATCTGAACTCCTCCATCATGCCCCAGAAAACTCTTCATCATGGGAGATTACTTCAGTCCTGACACCATGGAAGCACCCTCAGCCCCTACAGCCTCCCCTCTGATTGAAGATCTTGCCTCCCAGAACCTCCATTTAAGAAGGGTGCCCAGGCCAACTTTTACTTCTCACCAGCATTCTATACAGACACCTCCATCACATGTTTTTGATTGGTACTCCACTCTTCATTTTCAGCTTCCTTTTGTGTTGTCTTACCCCATTAGAATGTAAGCTCCGTGAGGGCAGGAATTACCTTTCTTTCTGCTTGTATTTGTATTTCTAGAGCTTAGCTCAATGCCTGGCACATACTAAGCATTTAATAGATACCTGATGACTGACTGATTTACTAGAATAAGTAATGCAGTTCTGAAATCCTCAGGTAGTCTAGAAAGAAATTGTTGAATGACTTAGAAATTACGTAAAATCTCCCCTCCCTTCTCAGCCAAATTGTTGGAAAAAATTCTCTATGTTTGCTGTTTCCACTTCCTCACCCTCCACTCATTTTAAGAAGAGCCTCACAGGGAGATACATCCAGTCCCATTCTTTTTCCTGAGTTCCATCCCACATCACCAACTGCCTATTACAGTTCAAAACAGATGTCACAGACACCTCAAACTCAAGAGAGAACATGTTATCTTTCCCAATCACGTCACTGCCCTACTGCAACTCCAGTTATTTCCAGAACCCCATTACTTCCAGAATCAAATATAAAATCCTCTGTCTGGCCTTTAAAGCTCTTCAAAACTTGGGACCAACCCATCTTTCCAGCTTCATTGTACATTATTCCCCTTCCAGCTCGACAGGGTTCAACCAAACTGGCCTTGGCTCTGCTCCTCCCATATATCACTCCATCCCCCATCTTGGTGCCTCTATACTCACCAACCACACAATGCCTGGAATGCTCTCCCTCTCTCCTCCACCTCACAGAATCCCTAATTTCCTTTAGGTGGCAGTTCAAGTACTATCTCTACCTAGCACCCTCAGTAACTACCTCACATTTATTTTGTATTTATTCTGTAAACTTTTACTCAGTTTATACTCATATACATATATGTTGTTCCTCCACCTCCTAGAATGTGAACCCTTAGAGAGTAGGGCCTATTTCATTTTCGTCTCTGTAGTCCACTGTCTGGTACACAGTAGGTGATTAATCAATTTTTGATTAACTGATTAATCATCTTTAAGGAGAAGATGGCAATTACTTCCTACCTCCTCTAAGAAAGAACTACAACAAGAAGGATTTAGGTTAGATAAAGACATGCTCTCCTCCTAATGGTGAGTTGTTAGATACTGGTATCAGTTCTTGAGAATGGTTATTAAATCTCCTCTGGAGCTGTTTAAAAAGATAATGGATTCGCATTTGTCAATGGGTAACTGTTTCCTTAAGGCAGGGAAACTGGACTGGCTAGCTGCTCAAAGTCTTTCCAAAACACTATCATTATACTTTTCCTCAAAGGACCTTCTGAATTATATGTGGCTTCTTCTGAGCTTAGGTCTGTTTATATCTATGATGAAAAACACATTTTTTGGAAATACTTGATTTGAAAAGCCCAACCATTCCAATTCTTGCCCCGGTCCTTCTTTCATTTGCAATCCCTTTAAGTGATGGCTTGAAGAACTAAGGGATTTCCCAGTGACTAAAATCTCTACCTTGCCTTGAAACACTGAGTAAAGGAGGATTTTAAAAATTTGCTGTCACACATGTTCCATGCATACACAAGTACAATGTTATGGATGTCATGGCCTTTTAACTGAAAATGTTTTGTTACATATTGTGTAAGTACATGGAACCAAGAAAGTTAAGGAAACTAAATCAATAATGAGAGGATCATAGACTTCAGACAGGGGTTCTTAACCTTATCTTTGTGTCCCGGACCCCTCTGGCAACAGTTTGGTGAAACCTATGGATCCCTTCTCAGAATGATATTTTTAAATGTATAAAATACACAGGATTATAAAAGAAACCAAGTACACTAAAATACAGTTATCAACATATGAAAACAAAACCAAAAAACAGCAAGTGAAGGAACTCCAGGTTAATTACAACTGATTTAGAGCCTACATCAGAGGCCATCATGCCCAAACTCTTCATTTTACAAATGAGGACACCAGGGCACTGAGAGGTTAAATGGCCTGCCCAGAGTCATTTAGCTCATATGTATCTTTAGAGGAATTTGAAACCAGATCTTCCAAGCTCCAAGTCCCATGCCCCCTCCACTAAGCACTGAACATACAACTCTCAGGAAGATGATGGAATAATGCTATTAATTGCATTAAAACGAAACAAAACTGCAAAGACAATCTTTTTCTATTGTCTTTCTCTAAAAGACTTTGCACATCTCTCTTCTATCATACAATGTGATAACAAAGTATCAGGAATTGTTATCACTACTTCATACCCAGAGAAATCAGGTCACATAAGGTGGAGCATGCAGAAGTTCATACAGAAAGTCAGCAGCAAAAAAACAAACAAACAAACAAAAAAAAACCTTGGCTACTTTTTCCTCATCATCAATGTAAAGAGTTATCAGGACAACCGCAACAAACATAATACAGCAAAAACACAGAGACAAACCACAATGTTTCAAGATACTAGTTACAACTCACCGGAGTTTCCTTCCTTTGCTGGCTTTTCTATCGACTTTCTTGTGAATTTTACTTCGTAACTTCTGGATGGCCAACCACTGCCTAGAACACCCACAGAAAAGGTTAGGTATCATCATGGGCAGAAACTATTACATACAGAATAACAAAGGCGAACCATTCTCACTAATAATCCCAGAGAAAGAAATCATCAACCCATCAACTTGTTCTTCAAGACAGGTGGTAACCAAAGTGACTAATTAATTGAAAAGAATTTTGGCAACTATAAAAAACTAAAGGCAAGCTATGAACTTGTATGGCAAATTTGGTTAACAAGGATCTTTACTCTATGCAGCAGTTGTGACAGGTGCTAAATTTGCTAGAGTTCAGAAAAAGTCAATTTAATAGAGATGCTGTGTCTTCTTGAAATGTTTTAAATGTGTGGTTTTTTTTTAAAATTACTGTTGCTACCTATAACTGATTTAAATGCAGATATGCTTTAAATGTAAATGTTACTTTACTCATACCCAGGTGTTTTTACGTCCAATTTTAAATATCACATTGACCGCTTTTAAATCTGCCTACCTAAAAAAGGAGACAAAGTTGAGAAAATAATAAATTTGTTTCTGTGGTCATTTTCAATGGGAAATGGCATTAAGGAGTTAATTTCAAGTAAAGGGTAGTTAGCTGAGAAAGTTTTCATAAACTGCTGATGGGAACAAATGTTTAAAAAAAGAAAGAAAAAATAAGCTAGTCATTTTACCTGATTTACACAATGAAAACTCGACATCTGAAAAAAATCTAGCAAAATCCAATTACTGCAATCTTAATATAATCTTAATTACCATAATCTATTTTATTGTAAAGTCAGATAAATGTATAATATAATCACTATTTAAATGCAATTTTGCTCTATCATGTTAAATTTATAGTGAATAGTTCTCCATAATATTCCAGACATACACAAAATACCATGACACATCACCCTAAAATTCAAGTAATATTTTACTTGAATAAAATTATTTCATCAACACAAATTTTGCAATGCATTCTTTGGCTTTCCTCAAACGCTGTTCTGCCCAGAATCCCATTCTGGCTTTCCAGCTTTTGTTTCCTTTTATGCTTTTTCAAATCATGGCTCATGGCTATTTGAATGTATACTATTCATTAGGCAGCACTCTAAATGCCCTTTTTAGTTTCTAATGGCAGGTTGAGGCACATACACACACACACACACACACACACACACACGCATGTACATACGCTTCCCTCACTACTTTACATTCTAGTCTGACATCTGGGCAACATTGTTGGGTTCCAATTTCTAATTGGGCCGAATCTTTCAAGGGAGAGGTGGAGGGTCTCACACTGGGATAAGTCTTAACAAAGCAGATTTGACTATGAGTAAGGGACCTGGTGTGACACAAGGCCAAATTCTGACAGCAGGCAGCACTTAATCAGAGTGGCTGCTCTTTACCCTTTGGTAAGTAAGCAGGTAGAAGAGGACCATTTTAAAAACCAACAACAAAACAGAATATATATGTACACTTTATACTCTCTTTACAAATTCCCAAAGGAACAGCAGAGCCCCAGGTTGCATATGACAATTTCAGATGTTTTGTCTCAATGGTTTCTATTAGAGTACTCGAGCTTTATAATTTAGATCAATCACTGCCTTTGAGTGATGTGTGTAGGGCTAAGGAGGCTCACAGGAAAAAAAAGTTACATGAGCTTCTACGGATGAAGAGGAAGGTATATCTAACTTTTTACCTGCCCATAGCCACCTGATCGTTAGGATCCAAAGAACTGGTCTTCCGTTCTATGAGTTCTCGGAGGAGCTAGAAGAGAAAAGAAAGCAACTGATTTATTCATCATCTCCAAGCACTGATTTTAAAAGGGCACAGCAGGAATTCTGAATGACACAGTGACAGCTCTAAAACTACAATCAATAAGACACAACCCAGTGGCAAGAGCATGACTGAATTCATGTTAACCCCTTCATATTTATATATCTTTTAAAAAGGTGGCTAGGGTTATAGCAGAGAACACAAGTCCATTAGGAAGACTTATTGTCCTGCAGTTCATTTCAAATGGATCAATGTGTGGGAGCAACGTTCCCTTCATCGTTTTATGATTAGTTTTGTCCACTCCATCGATATCAGTGGAGAATCTTTAAAAGGTCAGAGAGGAAGGGCTCCGTGGCAAAATGGAATCAGCATCAGCCTACCCCCAACAGGAGGACAATGGCAGATGATGGTTAACTTACATCCTATAATCTCCTACAAGAAAGCAGATCTTCCTTAAGCAAAATTTATTATTATATATAATTAAAAGTATAGACCTCATCCTCACTCTCCCCCTGGCTAAACTATCTTTACTATAAAGTGATGAGCCTGTATATAAGATGCTAGCACATTTAGAGCCAGATTTCTAAGAGAAAGTCAAAGGATAATAAGTCACCCATCAGAAGATATAATATGCAGGCCCAGACTCTCACTCTATACAAATGACTCTATGGAAACCCTAAATTACTTTCCTGCTTTCCTTTTAATTGCTGTAACACATGTGTTACAAGTGCCCATCAGCAGCAACAGAGATCTTGAAATTCACAGTAGGCCTTCAAGTCTTAAGTGAATGTGAAGCAATGTATTGAAAGGCAATGAGAAACAGAATGGAATTCTTTTAAAAGGTCATAATGATAATACTGGAAGTAAGCTCTCCTGACTCACCACTAAAACCAGGAATCCGCAGTAGAGTTGAAAAATTTTAAAAATCTTCAAGTGAAAAGTCTCTGAGAAGATATTAAAATATACATGATTGTCCTAACCAGACACCAATAACACAGGTTTGATTTCAAAGCCTATTTTGTTTTTTTTAACCCATATAAGTAATTATCTTGTAAGGCTGGTACATGTAACTATGTAGATATTTCACCAAATTAAATAGCTAAACCCATTAGGAGGGTAGAAGAGGGGGAATAAATTCCTAAGAAAACAGTTTCCTTTTTAATTTTCATTTGTTTACTTAAGTAGGCATTCCAAGAAGTAAAACACATTTTAAAAAAATACCCACCTCCTTAAGATGCATTTTTATTGCAACAGGGAAAAGGGTATCTCAGTCGCAATTAAAAAACCTCCCAGGATGTTTTTTCATTTGCTTATTTTGGAGATTATTACCACAGCAATTACATTTAAAAATGCAGGGACCAGAGGCCACTGGTTTATTATCACTAGAAAACAGCAAGCTATTTCTCTGCCCTGTTTATCTGATTGATTCCCAACATCTTTCTGGCAGCCAATCTATCAGTTTATCTCTCCTACTTCATCACAGTCACTTCTGGCAGCTAAATACAAGATCCAAATCCAGTGTTACACAGACATACGACACAGTAAACCTATGTAACATTGCGACTCTGTAAACAGTTGCCCTTAAGGCTAAGCAAAAATGGGCTTCTGGTTTCTAGTCAATATTCTGTCAAAAGCCAGGTAGGAGGGAGAGTTTAAAAAAAAAAAAAAAAGAATGAAAAAGCTGCCTTTCATTGCCCTTACCTTATGTGGTTCTTTCTCCACAAGGATCACAACTGTTCTAGGTTTCCTAATCCCCTTGGTTCCTTGGCACAAGGTCAGTAACAGTCATGAGAAAGAAAATGCACATAGCAGCCTCAACTGGTACAACAGGAATGCCTTCTTCAGAAAGATGCCTCCGTCTTTACCTTCTTCAGAGTCCAAGCATTGGAGCTGCACAACTTCAACACATCTATTAGGCTTGCTGTGGTTTCTACAATCCGAACACTAAGTTGGGGTAGCATTTACTTTAGAGCACACTGTGTACATTATATATTCTGGTCTACATTTTAAAATATGGCCTGTCACCTTACTAGCCAAGTGACTTACGCTGCTATTTCTATTTAGTCATTTATTATTTGGGAACTTTATTTTATTAGACTTCCTGGTTATTCTAGCTTACTTATTCCAATATTTCAGGGAACTCTGCTATGTCCAGGATAGGAATAAGAAAGCAAGGAAAACATTATAAACAAGCAAATTGTTCACATGCTTATTACTTACATCAAATTTGGAAGAAAATGGTCTTTTTAATAGTTACTGAGAGATAAAGTTTCTAGGATGTGGGATACAAAATTTACTTTTGCACTGAGCTCTGCTTTAAAAGCATAATCTTGTTTTTAAAGTAGGAATAAAAGTTTTCTACTAGGATTAAAATTCACATCTCTATTAAAGTTATTGGATTTTTTCAAAAGTTAAAAAGTTTCTCTGACTACTCAGAATTTATAGTGCTTCTTCTCAGATGATGGTGAAATCCATGAAATGTCCTTGAATGCTATTATATTCAGTTACCACTCACACAAGCAGGCCGCAACCTACAAATGTGGTCCAAAAACTGAAAAGCATCTAAGTCATTTAAGCACTCAAAACACAGTTTCTCATGGAAGCATTAGAATGAATGTACTTTAATGTCCTTGTCAGTCCACAGGCTACCAAGCCCGTAATATGGACTGTAAGCTCCTCGAGAACTGTCATCCTGTTCATCTTTCTTTTCCCAGCACCCTAGCACAATGCCTAGGCACAGAGTAGATACTTGATAAGTGCTTTTTGAATTGAATACTGTACACACCTAATCATTAATAACATTATTTCTAAGAGAAAACAAATTCTGATTTCCAACTAATCAAATACCAAAAGGTAACTCCATCTTGAGTAGAATTAGAGTCAGGGGCACCATGAGAAGTAGAGGAGATGAGAAAGGCAGGGATCTGGGCATTTATTAATCTTTTGTATTTTTATAAAAGATGGTACCACTGAGATCACTCCCCCATGGCATTCTACACATCCCCATAAATTAGTAAGAGATAGTAAAACAGCATGGTGTAGGGGAAAGAGTTTTGGAATCAGAAGACCTAGTTTTTAACTTTATCTCTGCTACTCATAAATATATGACTGTGGGTAAGTCACTTAAAGTATTTGGGCCTCAGTTTCCTCAACTGTAAAATGAAGGAACTGAACTAAATGACTCTGAAGTTCCAAATTTTATGATCCCATAAGTCAAGATTGTCTATTATTTTTTTTTAACTAACTATAAACAGAGATGGCTTTAATATTCCTTAATCTTAATATCCATAATGCACCAATTCTCACTGGTAGAAATGCTGTCTTCTACTAAACAAACATTATGGGAAATCTTTATAAGCTGGAACATAGATACAGTCTGACTTGGAGTTACAGTTTCAATTTACACTGACTTCTGTAGGCAGACAGACATGGTAAAGTGCTGCCTGGGCAACATCATTTTATACAATGTTATTAATGTGGTATATTGCCAAATCTCACTTAATGGCCCAGAAACCCCACTGTAAGGTTCAGGCCAGCACCCATTAACAACATTGTTCCTATGGAAACAACTGATTTTTGTAATGTTTGCTGTCCAACATCAGATTTTCACAGAACAATTTAATGATATTAGTTGGAGGATACCTTTCCATGCTTTATATGGCAATACCAATGTTTCAATTTACACAATACTTGACATTTACAGAACACACTAGATATCTACCTAAGTGGGCACTGAAATGATGTTTATTGGTAACAAGATTATTTCCAGTGAAAAACCAATGTTTGCTACCATCAGGAGTGCCCTCCATCTCCCTTTTTGTGCTCTTCCTCATATTTTCTGGCATGCTATCTAACTCACCCTCTAGTCATCAAGTGCCCCTGGGTGATCCTCTGGCTGTCCCAACTCCTTAATCTAGGACTCCAGTCCATAGCTGGTGTCCCCCATCTCAAAAAAAAAAAAAAAAAAAAAAAAGTGCCCTAACCTCCAAAAATTTCTTCTACTTCATTCTTCCTTCACTACCTCCCAATCAAAATTCCCCCATTCACACAGCTTAGCTTGATGTTAGCAATCAAATTAAAGTAGTCAAACTAAGGTGCAAATGGAGTCTAGATGTTTTTTATAGTGGAATAAGCGCTGAAATAGAGAACTGAGTTTAAATTTTTGTTCTGCTATTTACCAGATGGTGGAGCAAGTATAAATCACTTAACCTTTCTGAGACTCAATTTCCTTTTCTGCAGAATGGAGTTGGTAATATTTTAACTACATACCTCACAGGGACATTGTGGCTCAAAACTCTTTGTAAATATCAAAGTATTACATATGGGTGTGCAGTCATTATTATCAGACTCTCCCAGGAAGCAGCTGTATTTTTAAAAAAGAACTCAACCCAAAAGAACTTTGCAATTTAGTATAACATATGACAACTTACCATCTATCACACATCCTAAGAGAAATCTTTGTTAGTTTTGTCCTTCCTCTCCTTTCTTATCTGGCTTTTAAAGGTGAGGAAGGATCTCTAGCCTTCTTCTACCTTTCCTTTTGTGTCCCTCTTTTTACCTTGTAGCATTCTTTAATTTGTGAGTACTGTTTCAAGAGAGCTGTTTTCCCCATTACCATACTGCATATTTAAATATCTTTTTTTATGAAATGAGGTTATCAAATCTTGGACACAAGTCCCCATTTTCCAACATTTCATAGACTTAATGCTTTCATAAGATTATGGATTTTGAGCTATAAATTCCAACCCCTTTACTGTAAAGATGAGGGAAGTAAGAACCAGAGACACTAAGTTCTTTGCCCAGTCATTCATAAAGTGAAGCAAGGCTAATCCAGAATTTGGACTCAGCTCCTCTAATTCCAAATCCACCACTCTGTTCACTGTACTACTCTGCCCCCAACTTACTTACATAACATGGTTCCAAGTTTCAGTGTTTTTCAAGAACATATTTCTGGGCAACTCTGGACCAACTGTGACTCTTAATTATTTGTG